GCACAGTACCTGGACTTCAAAAGCTAATAAATGAACGTGAGGTTTACTGTAAACAATGGAACCTGAATGTCAATATCGATAAGACAAAGGTCATAGTTTTCCAAAAGGGAAATTATCAAAACGGGAAAGATGGTTTATGAAGGTGAAAGATTGGAGGTTGTAAGAAGTTACAAATACTTGGGTGTACTTTTTACAAATTGACTAACTTGGTCATTACACTGCAACAAAGCCGCACTGCAGGCCAGAAAGATTTTAATAGGCATTTTAAGAACACTAAAACCGCTTCCAAACATTAGCTTTGACACGTTTTTCAAAATCTTTGATACTAAGATTAGTCCTATTCTAGTCTATGGTGCTGAGGTATGGTGCCAAGAAATCTATGACACTAGAAAAGGTATATCTATATGCCTGGAAAAGATTTTTAGGAGTAAACTCCAACTCACTAAATGTTACAGTTTATGGGGAATGTGGGAGATACCCTAAGTATATATTTAGTTGCATAAAAGTAATAAAATATTGGATAAAATTGCTTAAAATGCCAAGTACCAGATTCCCCCAAAAATGTTATAACATGATGATGCTTTACGATGATAGAGGTAAAAATAACTGCACCTCTTGTGTCAGAGAGATACTTTAGTCTTGCGGCTATGATTACATCTGGAAAGAACAAAATGTAACAGCACCAAAGCATTATATATATGATTTAACTCAAAGGCTAAAAGCTATGTATTTTCAAAAGTGGTACTCTACACAATAAATCAAACCATTACTCATGTTTTAAATCATTCATTCTTACAGAAAAATATCTTCTAGACATTAATGTTAAGAAATTCCGAACAGCACTAGCCCATTTCAGTTGTAGTTCTTATGATCTTCTAATAGAAACAGGTAGACATTTAGGGATACCACAGGAAAGCCGATTGTGTAAATATTGTACTATCAGGAGGTAGAAGATGAATACCACTTTTTGCTTGTTTGTCCATTTTATGCGAATAAGAAAAAAGAATACATAAAGACATATTTCTATTTGAACCCCCGAATAGACAAATTCTATACCCTGATGTCATTCCAAAATCAACCAGTCACAAAGTATCTTGTATACCATGCAATGAATATCAGATCCTCTGCACTACCGATGTGATATTATTTACGATATATTCATTTATATTGAACCCTCTGCTACTGTATGTAAAAATGTACTATAGGCCTACGGCCTTTTCAGTACTGTAAATATAGGTTGATTGATAGTAATTGATACATGGCATGGGACAACGACTTTATCCAGATTTCTAAGATGCTTCGGTGAAAGATTAAAGGCGCCCACAGTACTTTATCAGATGATAATGCCTACTTTTTGCATTATGTCACAATGTAACCGACGTCACGATACATGTCAGTTGTCATCGCCTCGTACAGCCTCCTATAGTAAACTACTCCATTGCAGGTTGCAGTTCCTTCACTCAGCTAACAACACTGGTGGAAACATTACCTTTATGTTTTCCGATGGTTAAAATGTCTCAGTTCAACTCACAATTTACAGCGACACGGTAACATTCGCAATGTTTACATTCCAACAATTCAATCGTGGAATGTCGCTTTACTACTCAGTTTCATCTGTATGTACTCATCTAAACTTACGTTGTTAGTAGAAATGCAATGTTCATATTGCCCCATATGGTTTATGATAATCACAGATGTAATTAAAATATTTTAGAGAAGATATTTAACACGAACTAAACCGTCATCAAACTATTTATCATTTGTTTTTCTGGTAATGTTTGTCTTAACGTAGGGGGCAGAAATGTCTATAAAACTGCCCGTCAGTTAGCCCTGTACATCAATCGTTTAGAGCCTTAGGTTAATCGTAATTATCCTTAGAAAGTATTAAATTTGACATCTTAGAAAATAAATACCGTTCGCTCTACCACCATGTATAGTGTAATAAATCATACTTTCGCCATGAACTATTATAACGTTGAAGCCCAAGTCAAAACATTGATTACACACAAGTCTCGTTTACAATAACCAGTCCAGAATTTTGAGACCAATTCATTTAACTGGATACATGAATATTAATCAGTATTATCTGATACATCTAAGCACTTATTGCAACACTACGCTCCTTCTAATCCTTGCAAACATGTCATGCAGCGTGCTCTGTCGTACAGCGAGCTCTGACAAAGGGAAACCTGGAAAACACGGAAATCTCAAAACGAGGCTCTGCAGCTAGAAAAGTTTGGCAGTCTGGTACAGAATTGATATTATATCAATCACATTGTGCGTTACAAAACACTGAATAAGCGCAAAAAAACACATAACAGGTGTAACCAGTGAGCCAGATGCATTGTGAATCATTTTACAACCTCATCAAACAGGGGCAGTCTGTGAAATCTTAGTCTTAGTTAAGGTCTATTGCTGCCTACATCTCGCCATAAAATATAGAAATACAATGTTAATAAAGTTTAAAATTAAAACTCATTTGTAAATACCATTTTCTTATGAAAAAAGGAATTGGAATTCAGTGTAACCATAGTTGTTTGTGATGTCTATTTTCACTTTCACACGAGAAAATTTGAATTCGCTGAAAAGTAGGTCATTGTCTGAATAGGTTAATGAGACTCATGTTTCGGTTTGCTATAGTTCAGGATCTGGTTGTATGATTGCTTCATTAACTACTGTCAACATTAAACCCTAATGATACATTAAATCTGTAATGCATTATTAGTTAATGGCATCATTAAAAATCAAGCACTTATTAGTGTATCATTATCAATGCAGGGTTTTCAGTGTATCATTAATTTGGTGAAGTACCCCCAAACTGAAATCCTGTGCATCCTTGTGGGCGTTAATATATTTTTTTCTTAAACTGAGTTTGTAATGATATCCCATATTAAAATATAAACATTCTATTTACAATCATTTTCTAATGACATTGAAAGTAACACATATCTTAACATTATCACCACGAAACATGTCATTGATTTAATGCAAATTGATGGACCCCAAATTTTGGAAATGGACTCTCGCCCTGAGTCGGACTCTGTTAAAATGGCATCTTAAACTGGGGATCCCCTAAATATTTCTCACAATTCCTCGACGTAAACATGTAAGCCGTTAAACCTCGAAAATGGCAAAAACAAAACAATCGTTTCAACTGTAGTGAAGAAACACATCTCAATAATTCTGAAACGTCTATGGTAAACCTAGAATCGGTTGGGATGTTTTGGAAAATACACGAACACGATCGCCGAAGTGAGCTTTCCGCCATATTGGATAGTGTTTACAAAATCAAGTTTCGCCAAGGCCGGTCATAGGACACGTATACATATTTCATATTCAGTTGTGACAAATGCATCGGTGAATTCCTCATACCTTGTAGAATCAACTTACAAATGGTCTGTGTCACTAAAACCAAGCGTCTAGACAAAAACGAAATATATTGGGTGTGAAAATGGAACGTTGTGCTCATAACACAGCGCTTGCTAGAAATGTAAACAAAGCAAAAATCAGATTTTATACTGTGCAGCATTTTCTTAATTTTATAGACATCAGTTTGTCTACTCACAGCATGCATGAGCTCAATAGTTTTAAAATATGCAGAAAGATTATGGTAGCAAGAACTAGAAAATTAAAAGGGATACAATACAGTAATTTGATATATTCATGCGAAAGTTCTGTGCAGCGTGAGGCCATGCCAGACGCAAAATCACGGAGAACGACAGAGGCTATAATCGGCATTTCTGGCTTTTTCAATGAAAACAATAAAAACAAATAACCATAAGCAGATAGTCAGAATGTTTCTGATTACTTACATAATACAATATCCATGAGAAATCGGTCATCGGTAGTGATGTCATACGTCAACATTGTTGTACATGTTTGGCAATTTCTTTGAGGTGAAGGTCATTTGAATAAGAGTAAACACAATCACACTGTCCTGCGGATTACACTTTTAGTATTAATGTTTTATTTGCGTATTGTTCAGATATGTTTCATGAAACTAATTTCATTATCAACATTTAGCATTTTAAACCTAAATAAAACTTACAAAATAGATAACAATGATTTATTCATCTCATGAAATGTATATGCATACATTCTTAAAGGAATGGTCCTGTTCAATGAATGTTTTTTATGTTGTTTTATAAACAAAACAATGACGTATAATCATTTGCTAGGTGCACGTTTGTCACAACTGATTTCACTATCATTGTTTTCGATAATACCGTGAACAAAACATCACGGAAATATTGTGTCCTTATCCACAGCAAATTCTCTCAAAGTGGTAAGAGTTACAATTACTAATTGTTAAGCATAGCGGAGTGATGCCCCCTTATTTTTATAAGCATATGAACTTTTGTAGTCATTTGACATCAAAGAGGAAAATCCATTTTCAACACATATTGCGAGTCATTTTTAAGATTTTATTATATAGGTAGTATTTTTCCTGTATCACGATTGGTCAAAATACTGTCACATGATTGTCTACAAAAGGCGATATTGACTTGAGTTTTCTGACAAATTACGATATTGACTTGAGTTACTAAAAATAGACGAGGAAGCCCGTACGAAGGGGCTTCCCCTGCTTGTCAGATCACTCATTCCCTCACGCGCTATTTTTAGCCGTTCAGTGATGGCTTCAGCGTTCGTCAATAAAAATCAGCGTTTCCCTGATATTACAGATGACAAACAGAAGGAGATCTTGAAAATATCGATTCAAAGAATACTAAAAAGTCAACTAACACTGCTGTGAAGGTTTTCAGAGAATATCTACAACAAAGGGGTAAATCAGCTGATTTTGAGAACTTTAGCGAAAATGAACTTGATTCATCACTGGCTAAATTTTACCTGGAAGCCAGATCAGAGAAAGGAGAACACTACAAGAAAGTAACCTCAATGTCTTATCAACATGGCATCCAAAGACACTTGGAAAAAACAAAAAGAGGAATAGATATCATCAGGGCTTTAATTTCAAAGAATCCACGACAGCATTCAAGGCTATGGGAAAGGAGCTAAAAAGAATCGGTTGCGCTGAGATCAAACACTACCTACCTGTTGCAGAAGCTGATATGGCGAGGCTTTACGACTACGTGTGCAGCTCAGATTCCCCACTACTTCTACAGTATAAGGTGAATATATAAATCTAGTTTTTAACACACACATGGAGTTTCGTAAAATCATCAAGGCAAATGGATCTAGACAATAGATTCATGAATAAACATCGATACAAATAAAATATTGAATATCAATTTACAGATTTCCCAAATAAGATAGGCATGTTTTTATATTACAGGTATTCGTTGACATCATGCTTCATTTCGGAAGACGGGGAAGAAAGATCTCTCAGCTTTGAGAATAAGCGATTTGGCCGTAACCATGGACGCTGATGGGGACATGTATGTTTACATGACCCGAGATGAACAAACCAAAAATCATCAGGAGGACGATGGTCGGGCTCAAGGGCGAATGTATGAGAAGAACGGTATGTTGTTATGTTATCAAATAGTGACATTCAATTCCAAATATTAGGCTTACTGTACATTATATCGACACTCTAGAAAGATACGTAACCAGAAACCATGACCTGTCACCCATTTTGCTTTGTAACGGAAAGGGAGGCAACTCTTGCTATCAAATTGTTTGCAGCATAATTTTAGCTAAAATTACGTCCCGAAATATATATGTATGATCACTTTTATCATTTATCATTATTATTTTATTTTTTTTGGTTTATATTTTACAGACGATCCCAGATGTCCAGTGAGGACTTTCATCAAGTACATTCGTCGCTTGAATAAATATTGTCCAAAACTTTTCCAGCAACCAAATTCAGAAATGGAAAATGGAATTTATATCTTGCGGTTCCCCTTTGACACAACCGGCTTGGTTCTATGATGGCGACACTTAGCACAAAGGCAGGTCTTTCACCAAAATATACAAACCTCTCCCTGCGAGCTACAACAGTCCATGTATTGGATTCTGCACAGGTGCCATCGCGGCATATTATGACAGTCACAGGACATAAAGTAGAAACCAGACCAAGAAGATGATGTCCACCGCCATCAGTGATATGACCTGTGCTCAACCTGCTAGGGAGAAGGAGAACTCTTTGCCCATCCTCGGCGAACATGACCTAACAAATTTTTTGACTGACTGTGAGTTTGATGAAATCCTCAAAACTCTCCCTGTACCTGAGTCATCTGTTTCTGTGTCTGATAACAATATGCATGTACTTAATCACAGCATGACAAATAGACTGATGATTCAGATGCCAGGACCAGTTATTAATAACTGTAATGTGACCATCAGTTATAACTTCAACTCTAAGCAGTAACAAAGTAGCTAGATGAACAATCATCTATATATTCAAACTGATATCGTCTCTTTTAAAGATTAGTTATTTAAAAGTTGTCTTTGATGTTTCTGGTCAGTGATTGAAATAATTTTTCAACTCAACCTGACAGCCGGGCTGGTGGCCCATAAATGTTGCCTGCCCAACTTGAAAGTTGCCTGCCCACTTTTTTAATTTACATTTTTGCAATAACTGACAAAAACAAACACATATCATTCATAAATCAAATTTGTATTGATTAGGCAACATATTATGAGTGAGTGAGTTCATTTTTATTCCACACTCAGCAATATTCCAACTATATGGAGGCGGTCTGTAAATAATCGAGCCTGGAAAGCAACTTATTATGAACAATAACTTAATGAACCATTAAATATTTACAACCTGTGCACTGTGTGCTTATACAACTTTGAGCTAGATATCAATGTCACAGTCAGAGTAGTCACTCGAGACAACAGATTCTTCAGAATCATAACAACTATCATCAGAACTGTCAGAGTCCTCTACTGTTGCCTTGAGAGCTGGATCTTGCAGTTCTGTTTCATTCTCAACATAAACAGTATCATTGTCATCTTTAGCTGTGAGAGTGGTGAGTTTTCTTTCTAGGTGTCGGTTCTACGAGGTTTTACTCAAGAACCAATGATGGATGGCCTGAGTTGCATCGTAATCTTCCACCTCTTCAGAATTTAGTTGGACTGTCAAGAGATTTGACACTGTGGAGCTGCTCAGTTTGTTTCTGATTTCCGCTTTGATAATTTTTAGCTGAGAAAATCCACGCTCACATTCTGCTGTGGAGCCAGGTAAAGTCAACAGAAGGTCAATCATGTGCAGACAATTCTTGTGTGTCTCTCCATAGGTTTCCCACACAACATTCCAGGACAGTTCTGAAGGCTTGTGACTGAAAATAACGATATCACATTTTATAACTGAATGAAGGTTATCATTTTACTTTAGGCAGACTATATTCAAAACCTTACTAACATAAACATTTCTTCTTTACTTTCTTTAGTAATTCAACATAGCTGATGTTTATTTCCATGTTAGTTACAAGCATCCATACTTGACAGTTCCCTTTGAACATACCTAAACTGTAGATATGAAATGCAATGTACATCACCAAGTGTATATAAGCCTTTGCATTCATAGAGTGAGTGATAACCCTGAATGATACTTTCCACAGCATGCATCTTGTATTTGTCTATAGAGACTATAAAACACAAGTGCACTGTAATTGCTGATGTCTATACAATAAGAAGAAGATAAATCATGGCCTGCAATTGTTTTTCTTTACCTATTGTAGATCTTAGTTTTAGACTCATCCACCCCTGGTCAATCAGATCAAGCTCAATGTCAGTACGGGTCGGTGAGGAACTCTCTGTAGTGGTCTCAGATGGCTGTAAGTTTGTTGCTCCAAACTCTTTGAAAAAGATCACATTTGCAAAAATAAATGCCATATGGAGCATTTGTTGTTTCATGATTGCAACTGACATGTTTCATGAATTGTATTATGAAATCATCATCTGTTAACATATTAATGACGAAAAATGCCTCACATACTAGAATGCCTCTCAAAAGTTCATCCATGACATAAATACTCAATAAATTAGGAGTTTTTGCATAATATACAACACACCTGAATCAAATGTATCTGGCCATGACTTCAAATCTGCAAGGGAGGATGCAGAAAGTAGAGAATCAGTTATGTCGGAGAAACGACTTGACATGGATATGATGACTTCATTGAGCACCTTTTTCAGAGTGGACGATGAAACAGCCTCTCCAGACAGTGACTGGCCATGGAAAGTGTTCTTATTCTCTACTGCACGATGAAATCCAGGTCTAAAATTAAACACAGTGCAAACTGTTAATAATGTAATATGCAAAATCAAAACATAGATGAATTTGCAATATTAAAAAATAAAACAAAAAACTTTCTCAACAAAATGACTTACTTTTCTTTCATCTGTTCCAGAGTAGCAATAGTAGCCTTTAACTGTTCGTGGTGGCACTCATGGATGGTCACATCCTTTCGTAGTTCTGCTGATAGTTTGCTCAATGTGTTCAGGACGCCATGAAGGAAATGAGCATACACTATAAGTGATCTCTGTGTTAGGAGCTTGAAGAGGGACTTTGCTTTGATCTGAGCAGAACTGTTCTGCACCACTGCCAGGCCCCTGCTGTCTGTAACAAGATTAACATGAACACTGAAATTAGTAACATTGGAACTTGATAATTTATAGCAGTAACTCAATATTGTGCAAGATGGTTTTAAACAGGTGAGCTGCTTGTTTAGTTTTGAATTTTAGTTTTTTTCGTTTAGTCAGTGCCTAACCGCAAAGAAAAGTTTGATATTTTATTAATATCTTTAAAAAGATGCCAGAGAAGTTTGATGTTTCACAAATATCATTACTTATGTTACAGAAATATTACCTGGCCAGTATGGTGAACAAAGCTTTATAGCCTTTCCACAACTGCTGCAGAGCTGTGACAGTATGCCCAACCCATCTGGTGCCCCCAATCCTCGTAGGGCATCACTGGTGCAACACCAAGTGATTCAAAGATCCCTTTAGCATTGATCTGAATCAAAATTTTATCATTAATAAACACATAATAAGTTTGACAAATTCAAACAACAGTAAGCTCAACATCTAATTCTTTTTATAACTGTCAAACACTGACTGTCACTGACAAGCAGAAAATTTAGAAAAAGAACATTTGCCAAACTTATGCTCAAAGAAGCCATTATAATCTGATTGTATGATATTTTAAACAGTACTAAATTGATTGAACTCAATACTGAAGCAAAACTAAAAAATAAACAAACCTTCAACCTTGAACTTGCAAGTAGCTTAATGAAATTATGAAGTTTCATGGCTGTACAATTTACTGAAATTAAACAAAATAAAATTGGTGTACAAATTATAAATTACAAAACAATTATAAAAAAGCAAAGACAATAAAATTATGTACTTCATGAAACAGAAGTTTACAAAACTAAAAAAAAATTACATAGTCAAATTAAAAAATTTTATGAATAAATAAGGGTAAATTAAACCAACAATGAATGTGAAGAACTGAAGCCTTAATTCTTAACTGTCATTACAGTTTTAAAATGTGTATGCTAACTGCCAAGTCCTTCAGATTTTAATACCTTTCAGTTTGTTGGGTAAAATTAAACACCATGTTTTAGTTATTTACAAGAGCAATTGAAACATTTAATTATAATAATCATTTTCACAAATTTGAATTACTTAAGCGCATCTTATCTTTAATAACAAAAAGAAAGGATTGACATTAAAAAGTTAACTTACCTTTGGAGATAACCTTTGTAGAAAAGAGTAGAGAAGATGAAGCATTTTCATAACGTCTGCATACTGTTTTGATGTTTTGAAAGCCGCCTTGAAGCAATAATTCCAATCTGTGGCCATGCAGTGAATCATGACAATGGCAGAAGAAATGTTTTTCTGAAGATGGACGATGACACCATTCTTTTTTCCCAGTGTTAACAGATGCACCATCACAACCAAAGGCAATCAGCCTATTCTTGACTGGAATATCTGTGAAAGTGTTCATTGCTTTGAGCAATGCTTGATAAATGCCAAGAGAATCTGCTCTTTTGACATGGATTAACTTGACGAAAAAATACAAAGATTTTTCCTCTGATAGCACATCTGAGGTAGACAATTTCATTTTCTTGTGTGCTAACATCTGTGGAGCCGCCACCAATATTGAAAAGAAATTGGCATCTTTAATCTGTTGTTCAATTTTCAAATTCTCAGTTTCTGCAATAGCTTGTGTAAACGAAGCAGCAGATTTATCTGATGCATATGCTTTTACCAGTTTCAATTCCTTTTCTGGCATCAAGTTTTCGTTGCCAAACGTAATCCATAAATGGTCTTGAATTTTAGCTAGGGCATGACAGTTGCTAAACAGTGTATTCAGGGTTTTGAAAGCTTTTGCATTCAGTTTTTCCATCGATTGCTCCGCTGGAGATTCCCGGGTCTCATTTCCTTCGCTTTGTGAAATTCCACGGCCCTAGTATGACCAAATGACAGATGATGGTTTTAAAGCATCGTGTTTCAAATTGAGACAACCAAGCACAAAAGGTCCACGTTTATATCTATCATAAGAGGAAGGAATCCTTGTTTGCGACAGCGGGCCGTAACACGATCTGCATACTTTACAAAACAGAGATTGTTGGTCGGTTATCAACCAGGGAAATTCACCGCTCCACTTACTCTGGTATTTACGTGTTCGTTGGGTTGTTTCATACTCCTTACTCTTTTCTTTCTTCTCAATATCCTTTTCTTCTTGTGTTTTGGTATGAAAATCTTTACAATTAGTCAAAAAACTGAATATTTTTGACTGCGACATCGTGGTCTCCCTCACGCCGCCATTTTGTAACCAATACAAACGAGTAAGTAACGCTCTCTTTGATTGGTTCTTTTTTAACCATGTGCCTACTGATATCCAATCATAGCGTAGCTTACTAAACCAGCCAGTTTTAGTGTCCTATTACTATCTTCACAGTTCACTGGCAGAA